GATGGATCCAAGGATCCTCCCAAGTTGATAATTGATCGTCTTCCTCCATCGTTGGAGGATCGACCGTGACCATGTTCGACATCAAACCTTTGACTCCAAGGCTAACATCAGAGTCCCATGCCGAAGAATCAGACGAATATCAACCGCTATTCGAGGTGGCGGATTGGTTGTTGATCAGCATTTGTAGGAGGATGATGAGATATAGCCTAGACCCCTTCTACGTCCATAGTAGTTGTCAGATTTTCCTTTTGGCACATAGGCTGGCTGGGGTGGAAGTCAAGGACCACGACCAAAACAAAGAGCTTCTTCGAGCGCGAAACTGGATCCCCATTTTTTCATGTAGTCTCATGCCTATGAGCTATATCTGAGTAAATAGCGACCATGTCTTTCATCACCGCTATCATTCTTCAAGAAGGGATTTGGTGGTGGACACAACTCTCCTTTACCGAAGATTATCTCCTTTCCACCCCTGCCTTGGCAGGAAGGACAAGAGATGTTCTGAAGGAGTCTTGGACACACTTCTTCGTCATGCAAGATGATTGAAGTGGCATGTGTATATCAGGGTTATTATACAGCTCCTGCATTACATCATCAAGACAAGACGAGTACATTGTCATTTATTGCATGATCGGCAAGTTACCAGTTATAACTTCCATCTAACGATTCACCATCGTCAAGATCGATTATAAAGGGTTCAATATCGTTAAATACAAGACCTTCGTTGTAATCGAGCCCGGCTTCGGTATCAGTTTCATCTCCGCTGTCTGTGCATTGGGCCAATGGTTCAATAGCGTAGGCACGAACTATGCACACCATAGCGAGTAAGTGGGTCCATCGATCTTGATGAAGATTGTGTGAGAGTCACTCTTTGATTGCAAGCATGTTATAATAGAGGAGATAATAGAGGAGGAGGATGAGGAGGAGGAAGCCATGAGGATAGAGATGTTTAGTCCTTTTGGGCGCTTATACCATAAAGTAGCAGGAAGAGATTGCTCTTTACGTTGGGCATCATCATATATTTAGAGATGAGATATACAAATTCAAAATTCAAATGTACATGTTTGTTATGATGACCACTTCTCATGCTATCAACTAATAACAACTCAGATTACATGGGATTCTCTTGCTTGAGAGATCATAACTAAATTCAAGTTAATCTCCAACAGTGTGAATATAAACATTTATTTTCAAGGCAAAGAAATGTACTATTGAGAAAGAATTATGCAAAGATGAGAAAAAACAATCATTTAATTTTTTGGTTAAATGTAACGTTTTGATACTTTTTTGTGTTGTTAAATATGTTATATAATGTCTAAGTTGCAGATAACCTCTCTCAACTTTGCAAATTTGATTTAACCCTATTGAACTTTTCACACACTTAACACCTGAAAATGAATGTTGTTTAGTATAACATGTCACATGACAAAAGGTGAGTTGGAAAAGACCAAAATACACCTCGATAATAAAAACTATGATCTTTTGTAGGATGAGAGAAAGAGAGAGGGAGAGAAGGTAGGGGGGAGGGTATTGTAAATTGGTCAATGTCGTTTTTTTACCGATTGATAGTTTCTTTTTAAATTAAATGGGTTGATTCCTAAAGGATGTTCTCTCATTTCGCTTTTTGAAATAATGACGTCAGGGGATTTGTTGAGAAAAGTGTGAAAGTTCAGACCATTTTGTGAGAGTTCCATCATTGTTGGGGTTTTCCTAAATTTTCAAAGTTAAGGGGAATCACTAAGACGCTCGCCATAGTTGAGGGGATTTTCCAAACTTTAGCCTGTTATTAAAATATGGGTAATTACACTTAAATACCCAAAGTTTGCCCAATATTGCACCAAAATACTCAAAACTTAAAACTCTACACTTAAATACCCAAAGTTTATAAAAGTTGTAGTTTAATATCCACATGATAATTTCATCCCGAAAATTCTCATGTGATATGCAGGTGCTATTTTCAAAATATTTTAACCCTTATTTTTTTGTTAAATCTATTAGTAAACCCTCTATTATACTTTAAATCTACCATAACTGTATCTTAAAATAGGATTTTAACAGGTTAAACAATAAATTTAACAAAAAGTAAGTGTTAAAACGTTTTGAAAACAACATGTGAGAATCACATGAGATTTTTTAGGGCAAAATTCTCACCTTTGCATTGCATTGGGTATTAAAGTGCAAATTTTAGAAACTTTGAGCATTTAAATTAGGTTCTAAACTTTGCGTATTTTGGTGCAATATCGAGCAAATGTTGGGTATTAAAGTGTAATTTACGCTTAAACTATCATAGAGTGGAGCTCATTTTGCTTCTCAATCCAAAAGTGTTCTGTGAAAATCTTCTGTACCGTCTCTTTGTCTATCCCTTTCTCATAGGCACCACATTCGAATCAATAAAATATATTCTTTGTGTAAATCATGTTCACATCTTTGGTACCTCCTAAAAAGACCATAAATCTAGATCCAAAATTAACTAGTTAGTTGAGCAATGGGTCATCTCTAATGCAGTCTACCTGTTTGTGGTAATGCCTCAAAGTATCTTAGTGCCTGTAGAGATCTCTATAGTTAGTTCCAGAGCTAGTCAAGTTTTATTCGACAAGAGTTGCTTCTGGATAATTCCCTCACCTCGGTGGCATTACATTGAAGAACAATAAATCATGTAGCTGATATCTTGGTACAAGTGGCGGCGGCTCGTGTTCTTCATATGTTTATTGGAGCAAAAAAGCTATTTGTCTCGCGCGTGATGCATCACGCAAGAGAGGAGGAGGGTCAGAGGGACCCACGTGAAGTGGGTCCCACTGACCCTCCTCCTCTCTTGCGTGATGCATCACGCGCGAGACAAATAGCAAGGTTCTTATTGGAGCTTTCATGATCTGCATTTCCGTCACTATAAGACGATTGGTATGCTATCTCATCTCATTTTCATGATATAAAACAAGATACAACTTTCTATCAAAAAATTTCTAGTTTCATTAGGTACCTTAGTATTTCTTTGACATGAAACTAATACAATAGGTCAAATCCTAAACGAGTGTAAATTTTAGATTATAAATGGCTATGATAATATAATTTGTAGATAAAGGAGACACGTACTTTGCAATGATATGTTCATTTCATCCATTACCAGATTATACGTGCTAAGTGGATCACCTCAATAATAGCACATATTCCTATTATGTGTATATACATGAGTGTTATCAACCAGACAACTGTGTACATTGTGTCGTTAAATTAGATAAGTAAAATAATTCATCCTTGACATTACTGTACAAGTTGCATTGTTACTATATGGATAAGGGTACATTGCATTTCCTTCAATGACACTAGAATAAAGTTTAAAAAGAAGGGTAAATTCAACCCCCCCCCACCCCCCACCTCACAAAAAAAACTAAAACTAAAACAGAAACAAAACAACAACAACAACAACAACAACACAAAACAAAACACATGGGAAAAAACTTGGTTCACTTCTCATCGAATACCCTTGAAGTTTACCCACCAAACTCCCCTAGTTAACTCCATCAGTTTTAACCGCCCTTAGGCCTGTCCAAACGGGCCGGGCCGGCCCAGCAAACTGGGGTCCAAGCCGGGCGAAACCTGTGGCCCGAAC